CTATGGTCGAGAGTGTGCCTTCTTGTTTAACCTTTATGTGATATGAAGGTCGTTAATGTTTGATATGGTCGAGAGTGTGCCCTGTTGTTTTTCCTTTGTGTGATATGAAGGTGGTTAATCTTAACTATGGTCGAGATTGTGCCTTGTTGTTTTTCCTTTGTGTGATATGAAGGTGGTTAATCTTAACTATGGTCGAGAGTGTGCCTTGTTTTTCAACTTTGTGTGATATGAAGGTCGTTAATCTTAACAATGGTCGAGAGTGTGCCTTGTTTTTTTAACTTTGTGTGATATGAAGGTCGTTAATCTTTATTATGGTCGGGAGTGTCTGTGTGATATGAAGGTCGTTAATCTTTACTATGGTCGAAAGTTTGCCCTGTTGTTTTTCCTTTGTGTGATATGAAGGTGGTTAATCTTAACTATGGTCGAGAGTGTGCCTTGTTGTTTTTTCTTTGTGTGATATGAAGGTCGTTAATCTTTACTATCGTCGAGAGTTTGCCCTGTTGTTTTTCCTTTGTGTGATATGAAGGTGGTTAATCTTAACTATGGTCGAGAGTGTGCCTTGTTTTTTTAACTATGTGTGATATGAAGGTCGTTAATCTTAACTATGGTCGAGAGTGTGTCTTGTTGTTTTTCCTTTGTGTGATATGAAGGTCGTTAATCTTAACTATGGTCGAGATTGTGCCTTGTTGTTTTTCCTTTGTGTGATATGAAGGTGGTTAATCTTAACTATGGTCGAGATTGTGCCTTGTTGTTTTTCCTTTGTGTGATATGAAGGTGGTTAATCTTAACTATGGTCGAGATTGTGCCTTGTTGTTTTTCCTTTGTGTGATATGAAGGTGGTTAATCTTAACTATGGTCGAGAGTGTGCCTTGTTTTTTAACTATGTGTGATATGAAGGTCGTTAATCTTAACTATGGTCGAGATTGTGCCTTGTTGTTTTTCCTTTGTGTGATATGAAGGTGGTTAATCTTAACTATGGTCGAGAGTGTGCCTTGTTGTTTTTTCTTTGTGTGATATGAAGGTCGTTAATCTTTACTATCGTCGAGAGTTTGCCCTGTTGTTTTTCCTTTGTGTGATATGAAGGTGGTTAATCTTAACTATGGTCGAGATTGTGCCTTGTTGTTTTTCCTTTGTGTGATATGAAGGTCGTTAATCTTGCCTATGGTCGAGAGTGTGCCTTCTTTTTTAACCTTTATGTGATATGAAGGTCGTTAATGTTTGATATGGTCGAGAGTGTGTCCTGTTATTTTTCCTTTGTGTGATATGAAGGTCGTTAATCTTTATTATGGTCGGGAGGGGATCTTGTTGTTTAACCTTTGTGTGATATGAAGGTCGTTAATCGTTAGCATGGTTGAGAGTGTACCTTGTTGTTTAACCTCTGTGTGATATGAAGGTCGTTAATCTCTACTATGGTCGAGAGTTTGCCCTGTTGTTTTTCCTTTGTGTGATATGAAGGTGGTTAATCTTAACTATGGTCGAGATTGTGCCTTGTTGTTTTTCCTTTGTGTGATATGAAGGTCGTTAATCTTTATCATGGTTGAGAGTGTACCTTGTTGTTTAACCTCTGTGTGATATGAAGGTCGTTAATCTTTACTATGGTCGAGAGTTTGCCCTGTTGTTTTTCCTTTGTGTGATATGAAGGTGGTTAATCTTAACTATGGTCGAGAGTGTGCCTTGTTTTTTTTAACTTTGTGTGATATGGAGGTCGTTATCTTAACTATGGTCGAGATTGTGCCTTGTTGTTTTTCCTTTGTGCGATATGAAGGTTAATAATCTTTAGTATGGTCGAGAGTGTGCCTTGTCGTTTTTCCTTTGTGTGATTTGAAGGTGGTTAATCTTAACTATGGTCGAGAGTGTACCTTGTTGTTTAACCTCTGTGTGATATAAAGGTCGTTAATCTTTACTATGGCCGAGAGTGTGCCTTGTTGTTTAACCTTTGTGTGAAATGAAGGTCGTAAATCTTTACCATGGTTGAGGGTGTACCTTGTTGTTTTTCCTTGGGGTGATATGAAGGTTAATAATCTTTGCTATGGTCGAGAGTGTGCCTTTTTTTTTAACTTTGTGTGATATGGAGGTCGTTATCTTAACTATGGTCGAGATTGTGCCTTGTTTTTTAACCTTTGTAGAGTGTGCCTTCTTGTTTAACCTTTATGTGATATGAAGGTCGTTAAGCTTAACTATGGTCGAGAGTGTACCTTGTTGTTTAACCTCTGTATGATATGAAGGTCGTTAATCTGGCCGATGGTCGAGAGTGTGCCTTCTTGTTTAACTTTTATGTGATCTGAAGGTCGTTAATCTTTATTATGGTCGGGAGGGTATCTTGTTGTTTAACCTTTGTGTGATACAAAGATCGTTAATCTTTATCATGGTTGAAAGTGTACGTTGTTGTTTTACCTTTATGTGATATGAAGGTCGTTAATCTTTACTATCGTCGAGAGTTTGCCCTGTTGTTTTTCCTTTGTGTGACATGAAGGTTAATAATCTTTACTATGGTCGAGAGAGTGCCGTGTTGTTTTTCCTTTGTGTGACATGAAGGTTAATAATCTTTACTATGGCCGAGAGTGTGCCTTGTTGTTTTCCCTTTGTGTGATATGAAGGTTAATAATCTTTCCTATGGTCTCGTTAATCTTAACTATGGTCGAGATTGTGCCTTGTTGTTTTTCCTTTGTGCGATATGAAGGTTAATAATCTTTCCTATGGTCTCGTTAATCTTAACTATGGTCGAGAGTGTACCTTGTTGTTTAACCTTTGTGTGATATGAAGGTCCTTTGTGTGATATGAAGGTGGTTAATCTTAACTATGGTCGAGAGTGTACCTTGTTGTTTAACCTCTGTGTGATATAAAGGTCGTTAATCTTTACTATCGTCGAGAGTTTGCCCTGTTGTTTTTCCTTTGTGTGACATGAAGGTTAATAATCTTTACTATGGCCGAGAGTGTGCCTTGTTGTTTAACTTTGTGTGATATGAAGGTCGTTGATCTTTATCATGGTTGAGAGTGTACCTAGTTGTTTTTCCTTTGTGTGATTTGAAGATCGTTAATCTTTACCATGGTCGAGAGTGTGCCTTGTTGTTCTTCCTTTGTGTGATATGAAGGTGGTTAATCTTAACTATGGTCGAGATTGTGCCTTGTTGTTTTTCCTTTGTGTAATATGAAGGTTAATAATCTTTACCATGGTCGAGAGTGTGCCCTGTTATTTTTCCTTTGTGTAATATGAAGGTCGTTAATCTTTATCATGGTTGAGATTGTACCTTGTTGTTTAACCTTTGTAGAGTGTGCCTTCTTGTTTAACCTTTATGTGAAATGAAGGTCGTTAATGTTTGATATGGTCGAGAGTGTGTCCTGTTGTTTAACCTTTGTGTGATATGAAGGTCCTTTGTGTGATATGAAGGTGGTTAATCTTAACTATGGTCGAGATTGTGCCTTGTTTTTTAACCTTTGTAGAGTGTGCCTTCTTGTTTAACTTTTATGTGATCTGAAGGTCGTTAATCTTTATTATGGTCGGGAGTGTCTGTGTGATATGAAGGTCGTTAATTTTTATCATGGTTGAGAGTGTACCTTGATATGAAGGTCGTTAATCTTTATCATGGTTGAGAGTGTACCTTGTTGTTTTTCCTTTGTGTGATATGAAGGTTAATAATCTTTACTATGGTCGAGAGTGTGCCTTGTTGTTTTTCCTTTGTGTGATTTAAAGATCGTTAATCTTTACTATGGTCGAGAGTGTGCCCTGTTGTTTAACCTTTGTGTGATATAAAGATCGTTAATCTTTATCATGGTTGAAAGTGTACGTTGTTGTTTTACCTTTGTGTGATATGAAGGTCGTTAAGCTTAACTATGGTCGAGAGTGTACCTTGTTGTTTAACCTTTGTGTGATATAAAGATCGTTAATCTTTATCATGGTTGAGAGTGTACCTTGTTGTTTAACCTTTGTGTGATATTAAGGTTATTAATCTTTACTATGGTCGAAAGTGTGCCTTGGTTTTTTTTCCTTTGTGTGATTTGAAGATCGTTAATCTTAACTATGGTCGAGAGTGTACCTTGTTGTTTAACCTTTGTGTGATATAAAGATCATTAATCTTTATCATGGTTGAGAGTGTACCTTGTTGTTTAACCTTTGTGTGATATGAAGGTTATTAATCTTTACTATGGTCGAGAGTCTGCCTTGTTTTTCCTTTGTGTGATATGAAGGTCGTTAATCTTTACTATGGTCGAGAGTGTGCCTTGTTTTTCCTTTGTGTGATATAAAGATCATTAATCTTTATCATGGTTGAGAGTGTGCCTTGTTGTTTAACCTTTGTGTGATATGAAGGTTATTAATCTTTACTATGGTCGAGAGTGTGCCTTGTTTTTCCTTTGTGTGATATGAAGGTCGTTAATCTTTACTATGGTCGAGATTGTGCCTTGTTGCTTTTCCTTTTTGTGATATGAAGTTCGTTAATCTTTACAATGGTCGAGAGTGTTCCTCGTTGTTTTGTGTCACTAGACTGGTTCTCGCTATATAGACTTGACATAAGTAGGATTTAACCTACATTTACATGGAGGCTGTCGTCGATATACCAGCAGAGCCGTACCTTTCCGGACCACTTTATCTTATTATATTTTTCGAATGTTTTTGTAAACCTTTTTTTAAAAATCTGATGTTGAACATTCTAAATCACAGATTTTTTATTTCTATTTTATTTTTTCGATATTGTTATGGTATATTTCAATGTTTCTACCACAACCACTGTAGGTTTCCCCACTCATGACTAATTGGATAAACCTGCTAGGAGTTGGTAAACTGTTTTTGTTACCCAGTCGTGGGTAACAACCTGGACATGATTTTATTGGTCAATCTTTGATTTATGACGTCACGTCACAATGCTTTTCGACGTCATTTTTCATTTTGACCTCATGCTCCTTGATAAATGTTACCCCTGTCGGAAACACACATAATGTATTTTCCAACGGAAAATGTGTTTTTTCAGATAAAATAAGAACGTCATGGAAGAAACAGGTTCTCTAACTCGTGATGATTTATTATCGCTAGTTAATTTTCAAATTGTAAAAGACACTCGGTAAACCTTGTGAAGTTATACAATTACCTAACTCGAATGAGATAAACATGATTACCGTTCATCACTCGTTTGTGAACCTCAATATCTAGCCCCTGTGAGACTGAGGGACCTTTCAAATCATATCAAGACAATAAATCGAGCTTAGTGCAGGGGATGCACTGTTTAGTACGTTTTCTGGTATACACATTGATCAACGTAATCCCCTGCTCGTCTGTCCCCTCTACAAGCCGGTGTATGTTAACACGCTATTCTGCAACAAAGAACAAAAATAAAAATGTTAAACAGTTATGTTCAGTTCTGAATTACAAGTTAAATGCACGTGTTAATAACAAACAGTGGTTTGCAATATCGATAGGAAACATTTCAAAGGTCATTAATTAATCGTTATTTTTTTTCATTTTATTAGTTTTAATTCAGATACTCTAGAGATGAAACATTAAGGCGTACATTTCTAAATAATCTTTTACTGTTGTATGGAGGAATTGATAGGTTGACAAACAGATAATATTGAGAATGAGATGACGTTCTATTACCTTACAAACTTAGTCAACGATGGGCGATCCCTCATCCATCAGACATATACTTTCCTGAATTAACTAGTCGAGTCAAAAAACATTCCTAACCTTTGATTTATATATTATTTAGGCACAAAAGCAAGCGATAACAAGAATTCCCCGGAAGTGGATGTGTCGCCTGCGCAGAAAGCTGGGAGATTGTGCTTAGCACTGCATGAAGTTTGAGTTTGATCGGCCCAAGGAAACTCGAGTTATCGCACGAAAACAGATTTTCTATTAATAGTAACAGTGACCTTGACCTTTGACCTCCGGACCTGAAAAGCAATCCCAAGAAAGCACTTTTGGTAAAGAAGCAATGCATGAAGTTTGAGTTTGATCGGCCCAAGGAAACTCAAGTTATCGCACGAAAACCTCTGTGGGGACGCCGCCGCCGCCGCTGCCGACGACGACGCCAACGCCGACATAGCAATACCTTTGTGTCACCAGCTTTTCGCAGGCGACACAAAAAATTGGTCAAACCTAAATTAGATTGTCCCGATATCAAACAGACTTAAAAGTTACAAAAATAGTCAGTAGCTAATACAAGGCAGCATGCAACACCACTTTGATAAAAACAGCAAGTCGGTGTTAAAGCCAAGCAAATTAAACATTTAATGTGCAATATAGTTATTTGGTCCATTTAGTACTCATCAACGATATTCATGTTAAACAGTTAAAATACATTAATGAGTAAATTCATAGAAAATTCTTTAGCATTAAAGAGGCTGGCATTTAGAGACAAACGAACCCCTACGTCAACGTTACCAGTATCAGTACAAAGAAATACATAATAATAATCAACTACAAGTTTGTTTGTTGTAACAGAAAAGAAAAGTATACCTGTCTTCGCTTGCAAAGGCCCTTAAATAACTGAACACAGGGAATCAAGGTAAAAAAGTCGCCTCGCACGACCCCACAGTCACCAGGACCAGGACCAAAGAAATCACCGGTAGTTCCATCTAAAAAATTCAGGAACCTTGGTTCTTCGTTGACAATGTCGTTGAACAAATTGCCTTCCTCTATGTGATCGTTTAGTCCAATGTATGTAGGTCTTTCATCTACAAGTGTTCATAATTGTACATACATGTGTGTAACGCTCTTACTGTAACATACATGGAAACTCAATTCTTTTCAAGTACATACTGACACGGCTCTTTTAAACACGTAGTTACACATCTTTGTTAACTAAAATAAAACAAATATCTGCTTATTATACATAGCAACAAACCTCTCTTACAGAGAGCTAGGAGCTGCAGACAGATCAAAGGGAAATACATAAGGTAGACAGGTAATCATTATTTATAGACGGCGTAAGCATAAGACAGGTAATAGTTATGAACAGTAGTAGACAAACCTCTCTTACAGAGAGCTAGGAGCTGCAGACAGATCAAAGGTAAATACAAAAGGTAGACAGGTAATCATTAATTATAGACAGCGTAAGCAGAAGACAGGTAATAGTTATAAAAAGTATGAGCTGTAGACAGGAAATAGATATAGACAGTGGTAGCTGTAGAAGGAAATAATTGTGGTAGCTGTAGACAGTGACAGCTGCAGACAGGTTATAGCTAAAGACAGTGATAGCTGTAGACAGGTAATAGTTATAGATAGTGGTAGCAGGAGACAGGTAATAGTTATATACAGTGGTAGCTGTAGACAGGTAAGAGACATATACAGTGGTATATGTTGACAAGTAATAGCCATAGACAGTGGTAGCTGTAGACAGGTTATAGGTATAGACAGTGGTAGCTATAGACAGGTAGTAGGCATAGACAGTGATAGGTGTAGACAGGTAATAGTTATAGACAGTAGTAGCTAAAGAAAAGTGTCACTTATAGACAGTGATAGATGTAAACAGGTAAAAGCTATAGACAGTAGTAGATGTAGACAGGTAATATTTATTGTAGTGTTAGCTCTAGACAGGTTATAGCTATAGACAGTGAAAGCTGTAAACATGTAATATTTATAGACAGTGATCATGATAGCTGTAGACAGGTAATAGGTATAGACAGAGGTATCTGTAGACAGGTAATAGGTATAGACAGTAGTAGCTGTAGACAGGTAATATGTATAGATATTGATAAATGTAGACATCTTATAGTTATAGACAGTGTTAGTTGTAGACAGGTAATAGTAATAGACAGTGATAGCTGTAGACAGGTAATAGTTATAGACAATAGTAGCTCAGAAAAGTGTCAGTTATAGACAGTGATAGATGTAAACAGGTGAAAGTTATAGACAGTTTTAGATGTAGACAGGTAATATTTATGGTGGTGTTAGCTGTAGACAGGTTATAGTTATAGACAGTGAAAGTTGTAAACAGGTAATATTTAAAGACAATGATCATGATAGCTGTAGACAGGTAATAGTTATAGACAGTGGTAGCTGTAGACAGATAATAGCTATATAAAGTGGTAGCTGAAGACAGGTAATATATATATAAAGTGTTAACTGTAGACAGGTAATAGGTATAGACAGTAGTAGCTGTAGACATCTAATAGTTATAGACAGTGACAGCTGTAGACAGGTTATAGTTATAGACAGTGGTAGCTGTACACAGGTTATAGTTATAGACAGTGGTAGGCGTAGACAGGTTATAGTTATATACAGTGTTAGCTCTAGACAGGTAATAGTTAAAGACAGCGGTAGCTGTATACATACCAATAGTAAAAGACGGTGACAGCTGTAGACAAAGACAGTGGTAGCTGTATACAGGTAATAGTTATAGACAGTGGTAGCTGTAGACAGGTTATAGTTATAGACAATGGGCTGTAGACAGATAATAGTTAAAGACAGTGGAAGCTGTAGACAAATAATAGTTATAGACAGTGGTAGTAGTCGACAGATAATAGTTATAGAGAGTGGCAGCTGTAGGCTGGTAATAGTTATAGACAGTTGTAGATGTAGACAGGTAATAGTTAAAGACAGTGGTAGCTGTAGACAAGTAATAGTTAAAGACAGGTAATAGTTAAAGACAGTGGTAGCTGTAGACAGCTAATAGTTAAAGACAGGTAATAGTTATAGCCAGTGGCATATGTAGACAGGTAATAGTTAAAGACAGTGGTAGCTGTAGACAGGTTAAAGTTAAAGACAGGTAATAGTTATAGACAGTGGCATATGTAGACAGGTAATAGTTAAAGACAGTGGTAGCTGTAGATAGGTTAAAGCTCTAGATAGTGGTAGCTGTAGACAGGTTATAGCCAAAGACAATGACACCTGTAGACTGGTTGTATTTATAGACAGTGGTATCTGTAGACATGTAATAGCCAAAGACAGTGACAGCTGTAGACAGGTAATAGTAACAGACAGTAGTAGCTATAGACAGGTAATAGTTAAAGACAGTAATAGCTTTAGACAGGTAAGAGTTAAAGACAGTGATCATAATAGGTGTAGACAGGTTATATTTATAGACAGTGATAGCTGTAGACAGGTAAGAGTTATAAACAGTAGTAGTTGTAGACAGATAATAGTTATAGACAGTAGCAGCTGTAGACAGGTAATAGTTATAGACAATGGTATCTTTAGACAGGTTATAGTTATAGACAGTGGTAGGTGTAGACAGGTTATAGTTATATACAGTGTTAGCTCTAGACAGGTAATAGTTAAAGACAGGTAATAGTTATAGACAGGTAATAGTTAAAGACAGTGGTAGCTGTATACATACCAATAGTTAAAGATAGTGACAGCTGTAGACAAAGACAGTGGTAGCTGTATACAGGTAATAGTTATAGACAGTGGTAGCTGTAGACAAGTAATAGTTATGGACAATGGGCTATAGACAGGTAATAGTTATAGACAGTGGCAGCTGTAGACAGATAATAGTTACAGACAGTGGTAGCTGTAGATCGGTAATAGTTATAGAGAGTGATAGTTGTAAACAGGTAATGTTTAAAGACAGTGATAGCTGTAGACAGCTAATAGTTATAGACACTGGCAGCTGTAGACAGATAATAGTTATAGATAGTGGTAGTTGTAGACAGATAATAGTTATAGACAGTGGTAGTTGTAGACAGATAATAGTTATAGACAGTGGCAGCTGTACGCAAGTAATAGCTATAGACAGTGGTAGTTGTAGACAGATAATAGTTATAGATGGTGGCAGCTGTAGGCAGGTAATAGTTATAGACAGTGGCAACTGTAGACAGATAATAGTTAAAGACCGTGATAGCTGTAGACAGGTAATAGTAACAGACAGTAGTAGCTATAGACAGGTATTAGTTAAAGACAGTAATAGCTTTAGACAGGTAAGAGTTAAAGACAGTGATCATAATGGGTGTAGACAGGTTATATTTATAGACAGTGATAGCTGTAGACAGGTAAAAGTTATAAACAGTAGTAGTTGTAGACAGATAATAGTTATAGACAGTAGCAGCTGTAGACAGGTAATAGTTATAGACAATGGTATCTTTAGACAGGTTATAGTTATAGACAGTGGTAGCTGTAGAAGGTAATAATTAAAGACAGGTAATAGTTATAGACAGGTAATAGTTAAAGACAGGTAATAGTTATAGACAGTTGCAGATGTAGAAAGGTAATAGTTAAAGACAGTGGTAGCTGTATACAGGTAATAGTTATAGACAGTAGTAGCTGTAGACAAATAATAGTGATGGACAATGGGCTATAGACAGGTAATAGTTATAGACAATGGTATCTTTAGACAGGTTATAGTTATAGACAGTGGTAGGTGTAGACAGGTTATAGTTATATACAGTGTTAGCTCTAGACAGGCAATAGTTAAAGACAGGTAATAGTTATAGACAGTGGTAGCTATAGACAGTGGTAGTTGTAGACAGATAATAGTTATAGACAGTGGTAGTTGTAGACAGATAATAGTTATAGATGGTGGCAGCTGTAGGCAGGTAATAGTTATAGACAGTGGCAACTGTAGACAGATATTAGTTAAAGACCGTGATAGCTGTAGACAGGTTATAGTTATAGACAGTGGTAGCTGTAGAAGGTAATAATTAAAGACAGGTAATAGTTATAGACAGTTGCAGATGTAGAAAGGTAATAGTTAAAGACAGTGGTAGCTGTAAACAGGTAATAGTTAAAGACAGGTAATAGTTATAGACAGTGGCATATGTAGACAGATAATAGTTATAGACAGTGGTAGCTGTAGACAAGTAATAGTTATAGACAATGGGCTATAAACAGGTAATAGTTATAGACAGTGGCAGCTGTAGACAGATAATAGTTAAAGACAGTGGTAGCTGTAGATAGGTAATACTTACAGACAGTGGCAGCTGTAATCAGATAATAGTTACAGACAGTGGTAGCTGTAGATCGGTAATAGTTATAGACAGTGGCAGCTGTAGACAGATAATAGTTACAGACAGTGGTAGCTGTAGATCGCTAATAGTTATAGACAATGATAGTTGTAAACAGGGAATGTTTAAAGACAGTGATAGCTGTAGACAGCTAATATTTATAGACACTGGCAGCAGTAGACAGATAATAGTTATAGACAGTGGTAGTTGTAGACAGATAATAGTTATAGATGGTGGCAGCTGTAGGCAGGTAATAGTTATAGACAGTGGCAACTGTAGACAGATAATAGCTAAAGACAGTGGTAGCTGTAAACAGGTAATAGTTAAAGACAGGTAATAGTTATAGACAGTGGCATATGTAGACAGGTAATAGTTGAAGACAGTGGTAGCTGTAGACAGGTAATAGCGATAGACAATGGTAGCTGTAGACAGTTTATATTTATACACAGTGGTAGCTGTAGACATGTAATAGTCATAGACAGTGACAGCTGTAGACAAGTAATAACTGTAATAGTTCTAGACATTGGCAGATGTAAACAGGTAATAGTTAAAGACATTGGTAGCTGTAGACATGTAATAGTCATAGACAGTGACAGCTGTAAACAGGTTATAGCTAAAGACAATGACAGCTGTAGGCAGGTAATAATCATAGACAGTGGTAACAGTAGACAGGGAATAGGCATATACAGTAGCAGCTGTAAACAGATAATAGTTATAGACAGTGGTAGTTGTAAACAGATAATAGTTATAGATAGAGGCAGCTGTAGGCAGGTCATAGTTATAGACAGTTGCAG